GAGCGAGCGAGCAGCCCAGGGGCATATTTACACCAGACAATACTGGAGCAAGGAAGTGTGGAATGCTCGCTAGTCCTTACTTCACTTGACCATCCGTGTGTGTGTGTTTGTGTGTGTGTGTGTGTGTGTGTGAAGCCCAGGGGCATATTTACACCAGAAAATACTGGAGCAAGGAAGTGCGGAACGCTCTCTAGTCCTTACTTCACTTGACCCTCCAAGCAGCAGAGAATGAGTGGGTGCTTGCCAGACAAGAGTCATTCTGGAGGTGTGATGCAGAGACCAGAGGAAAGCAGCTATATACTGTGACCCCTTAACTTCACTTATCATTCGCTGCCCTGCCATCTGCCCCTACCAGCTGCCACTGTATCCTGTCCTGCTTTCTGATGGTACTTTTAAGCATATGTTCTGGCCCTGAGCAGATGACTATTAGGTAGATCTGACAAAGGCTTCACAGAAAAGATGGATTTTGAGGTGGAAGCTCTGTCCTAAATTAAGAATAGTGGGACATACTACCCCTTAGACCAGTGGTGGCGAACCTATGGCACACGTGCCACAGAGGGCACACAGAGCCCTCTCTGTCAGCACGCAAGCCAAGTTGCCCCAGCAATGCCCCAGCAGCCGAGCATCGGAGAACAGCACACTTAGAGGCCATGCACATGCTTAGAAAGGAGTAATGGAGCCAGTTAATGATGTCACTAGCAGCAACTCATTAGCCGCGACTCCTCCAAGCTTTTGCGTGGCTGGTCAGTGCGCTGCCAAGGATATATATTTATTTGCTTGGATTGGCTATGAGTTGTTTTTTTCTAAACTAAAATCTCAGTTTTCAGGTTTTATTGTGTTAAGAATGGGCAGAAATGTTGAGCTGTGCAGAAAAAGCTACTCAAGGAAGGCTTTTTCAAAATCGTCCTATTTTCACTGAAACTTTAGCCCTCTATTAGGGTTAGGGGTGTGCACCAGGGTAGGGTTAGACCAGTGGTGGCGAACCTATGGCACGCTTGCCACAGTCGGCACGCAGAGCCCTGTCAGCACGCAAGCCACATCGTGCCAGCATCACCCCAGCAACCGTGCATCAGGTAACAGCGCACATAGGGGTCATGCGCATGCTCGGAAAGGAGTAGCAGTGCCAGGTGATGATGTCACGAGCCATGACTCATTAGCCACAACTCGTCGGTCAGTCCGCTGCCAAGGATGTATATATTGTTGGGCTGGCTGTGAGCTGTTTTTTCTGAACTAAAACCTCAGTTTTCGGGTTTTATTGCAGTGTGGGTTTTGGGTTGGAGTTTCGGCACTCGGTCTCTAAAAGGTTCGCCATCACTGCCTTAGATTGTCTTAAAGTGCTGAGCATGGCCCGCTGCCTAGTGTTTATTGCAGACAATGTTTCCCTCTTTAAAATCAGTAGCCTTTTCCATGTTTGAGCTGGCCAATTGCCCTGCTGTGCTCAATACAGGCACAGAGAAGCCTTCGCCCAAATAGTGGCATAACTGCTTCACGGGGGCACTCTAGTCTGGCAATCTCCTACTCAAGAGAATGACAGCCTTCTGGAAACTTCTCAGAGCTGAGTTCAATCAACTGGCATTCCCAGATTGGCACTAATGTCAAAGCTCCACTTAACTGTATTCTCATAAAACCCTTCAAAAGGTCACCTTGCAACTTCCTACTGCCAGCTGTGGAGGAGGGCGGGCTTTTGCTTCTTGGCACCAGTAGTAAATTCTTGGAGAGTCCATAAACTCCAGTTACCAAAGACACTTTATCTATGCCCCATTCTATCCCTTGAAGTCAAAGCAACTTCTAACGCATTCTACCACCACTACCCCAATTTCAACGTACAGAATACTGGATTGGCTGGACTAGGTCTGATACACCTTAAGTTTTATTATGGCTCAGACTTCAACAAATACCATACTTTTAAAGAACAAAGAGTCTTGTGGCACCTTAAAGACTAACCAATTTGTTCCTGCACAAGCTTTTATGCCCATGTCATCAGAATCAGTTGCATCATAGTCGACAAAAGCATGCCAGAATAAATCTGTTAATCTTTTAAGTGTCACAAGACAAGACTTTGCTGTTTTTGCTGCCTCAGAATAGCATGGCTAATGTCTAAAAATTGTTACCATTAAAGGGGCTCCTTTGCAAGTCTGCCTGGTTATCCTGATGTTCCTTTCTGTGAGCAGATCTTAAAGAAATCTCTGCATAACATTCCTCAGGTGCCAGGCTTAGAAATCAGCAGTGCATGGATTATTGTTAAATTATGGTAAGATTTTGGAATTTCCAAAGAGTACCCAGATTACAGTTTTCCCAATAGCTATTCCATATTTTCTTGACTTAGATGTCGGGGATATCCATCTAGAGACAGAAATACCATTCTGCCTATTGCTGTTTTCACCCCATTGAGTTTCTGAATCTGACAATGAGTGGAATTTGGAGATGTGTGACCTTGTCAAATTTGGCAGTCTTATGACTCACTTTGTATAGATTTCTCTGCTCCCATTCTAAAGTAGGTTGTTTACATTTCCACATAAACTGCATCTTAATCTGCTAGAGGAATGAGTAAAGATTTGAGGAAATGATCAGTGTTCAAAACTGGTAATGCAGAGATAATTTTTATGAGCTGTTCTCATTGTTTGTTCATAAGAAAGAAACCAGGAAAAATATTTGGGAGGGGGAGATTATTTCCTATCATTATTTCTTTCTATTTCAAAGGCTGGTGCAATAAAATGATATACTGTAAGCTGGCAGGAACAGAAAATCAATCCATATACGTGGCTATATAAAAAGTCAAAAAGGACAGGCTGCTTTTCTAGGCTGAGATAACTTCAAAATAGCATCCATGTGCAATGAAACATCAGCTTCTTATTTTGCATAAAGCAATTCTCTGGTGCACTGGGTCCTCAAAACAGTTAATCACATCAAATATACAATCTCTTTCTACTTATGTTGGTAAGAATAGATTTATAGACCAGTACATGCCATTTATCTATGTATGCATCGTAAGGGTCCCCAAGGGACCGCCAGAGACTGAATATCCAAGTATTCAGTTTGTATGTGTATTTGGCTTTTTCAGAGTTCCAAGTTAATTCTATCAGTCTCCTTTTTCCAATTTAAATGCAATGAGGAACCCCTAGCAATAATATGAAATAATACAGAAATGCAGATATTTCATCCACATGATTCAATGTCTGGCCTAAATCAGCCTTCCCCAACCTGGTGCCCTCCAGGTGTGTTAAGCTCAGCTACCACCATCCAAAAGTAAGCATGATCAGTTCTGTGCCAGCTGATGTTGATGGGAGTTGTAGTCTAACACATCTGGAAGGATATCAGGCTCCAGAAGGTAAGTCAGAAAACTCAGTCATGTAGATTCCTGCCACCAAAACAAGTCATAAGAAGAGTATATGATTTGGAGACACCAGTGATTCTATCCACTTTGCTGGAAATAGGGTCTAAAGCACCAGAAGAAAATCCTACCCTGGTGACAAGAATAAGTGCTACTACAAGCATCCTGCATGGTGGAAGACACCTTGAAGAAGACAAGAAGGCAACCCTGGGGTGAGAGACCACCAGGCAGCTCATTCCAAAACAGGCTTCTTCTGTTCCTTGTCAATGAGCTCTCTCTCAGCCCTGCTGTACCAGGAACTTGCGTGGGTTTTCTTTCATATTAAAGGAATGACTCAACGACTGAGATAAGGTGGGGGCAGAACAGTGGAAGAAAATGAAGCTGTGAGCATTTTGTAAAAGGCCTGTGAACCTTCCCTTCTGACGCAGAAGGCTTCAGATACATTGTGCTGCCATAGTTCCCAACTATGGCAGGCAACAAGTCAGAGAAGAGACTCAAACTCTCAGCTCATAAGCCGTTAATGAAAAACGGACAAGCCAGTTGTTTTCATGTGTCAAGCACTAATGCTCCAAAAGAAAAAGAAAACCAACAAAATGTTCCATTTATTAAAAGTTCTTTCTTTTTAGACTCCCAGCCCACCTGATCTATAGAAATTTAAGCAGGCAACCCTTTTATAAAAAGTGAATATTGTTCTGTAATACTTTATTTTAACAACAGGTTAAAGTATTATTTTAGAATATATACTTTGCTCACTATATGCACGCAGACAAAAAAACAGTCTCTAGCAAATGCTCAGGCTTCAGCAAACCTAAGAAGACATAGAAACAAAGCAACAGCAAGTCAAAAGGTGCCTCCCAGGCGATCTAGTCTAACTTAGCTCCAGCCAGCTCAGCTCATGACAGGCCTACCATG